AAATATAAGGCATCCAAATTGGAAAGGAGAAAGTCAAATCACCCCTTTTTGCAGATGATATGATCTTATATCTAGAAAAATCTAAAGATTCCACACACAAAAAAACCTCTTAGAACTGAGAAACTCAGTAAAGTTACAGGATACAGGTCTGGCATGGTGGCTCACACCTGTAACCCTACCACTTTGGGTAACTGGGGCAAAAGGATCATTTGAGGCTAGAAGTTCAAACCCAGCTTGGGAACATAGCAAGACCTCATCACGTTAAAAAAATTAATTAGCAGGGTGTGATGGTACACACCTGCATTCCTAGCTACTTGAGAGGTTGAGGCAGGAGGATTACTTGAGCCCAAGCTATGATCATGCCATTATACTCCATCCAGCCTGGGTAACTGAGTGAGACCCTGACTCTCTGATTCTTAAAAAAAAAAAAGTTACAGGATACAAAATTAACATACAGTTGACCTCTGAACATCATAGTGGTTAGGGGTGCCAACCCCCATGTAGTTGAAAATCCATGTATAGATTTTGACTTCTCTAAAACTTCACTACTAGTAATCTACTATTGACCAGAAGCCTTACCGATAACAAAAACAGTCATTAACACATACCTTGTACGTTACATGTCTTATATACTACATTCTTGCATAGAGATCCCTCTTCTTGTGACCTCCCTAACGGTAAGGCAGAACTGTTGTCATTCATTCATTGTCCCTGTGTTGTTTTTCACACTCCCTCCAACTTTACTCACTCAAAGTGCCAGCCTGGCTCCAGACCCCATTTGAGGTTGTAACCCTTAGTTACTTGCTTATAATCTCTCACTCCTACTAAACTATACATTTCTTGAGAACAAGGACTTTTTTCTCATTCATTTTTATTTCTTCTATACTTCCATCCAACTGTTAATATATATTCATCAACAATTTTCTGAACTTAGCAAATTACTTATCAACAAAATAGGAAAAACGTTAACACTTTATACATTATAAATAATGCTCCTTAAGCTTTAACAGTTGGTAGCACTGCTTCTTTACTATGTCTAAATTCACTTCAAAACTCAATGATACCCTTTTTTATATCTAAGTCATAATCAGTCTTTTTATGAGGGTAGAGTGAGAAGTTGAGATGCAGAAATAAGAGAAAGAGGCCGGGCTTGGTGGCTCAGCACTTGGGGAGGCTGAGGTGAGTGAATTGCCTGAGCCCGCAGGTTCGAGACCCACCTGAGCAACTTGGCGAGACCTCATCTCTACAATAAATCAAGAAAGAAAAACTTAGCCAGGCGTGGTAGCGTGTGCCTGTAGTTCCAGCTACTTGGAAGGCTGAGGCGGAAGGATTGCTTGGAGCCCAGCAGGTCGAGGCTGCGGTGCCCGGGAGCGTGCCACTGCACTCCAGTCTGGGCAACAGAGTGAGACTTCAACTCAAAAAAAAAAAAAAAAAAAGACAGAAAGAAATAAGAGGAAGAGATTATGCATGGAAGGCCTAGTATGTGGCAGGGGTCGGTGCCAAGCTAAATAATTGAGGGAAGGGAAAATCTATAAATAAAAGAGGTGGCAGGGAAAAAACCTGTGTTGGGCCAGGTAGGAATAGAATTCCAAGACAGCCAGTAGAATTCTGCAACAAATATGGCACTGCCAGGTCAGGGAGTGGTTACTTTGTATAAACTTTGTGGAACACCTACAGCATTCTTAGAAGTGGTGAATTGATGCCAATTGAAGAGTCTATACTTACCTCAGACACCTTCCTCACCCGCCAGCTGAGGTTTCTTCTCTTTTTAATCAAAATAGTCAATTCAATTACATCTGCACTGAGAAAGTCTCTAGATACCTGGTGCTATCCTATTCCCCAGGAGGAAAATTATATGAAATATAAAGAAATGTGTCATATAATCTCTGCTGTCAAAACAGGAGTAAGAAAAATTCACTTCAGAAACAGTAGATCTCACTTAAGAGTGTAATCAACTTTAATTGAAGAAAAACCATAAAGCAAATTATTTTGCTTAACAGCACCCTCTTGGTTGAGATGCTGTACTGTAAAACCTTTTAAAATTAAATTTCTTAAGATAATTATAGATTCAAATGTGGTTGAAAGATATAATACAGAAAGATCCCATAGACCATTTACCCAGTTTCCCTGAATAGGAACATCTCGCGTAACTATAGTACATTATATCATAGATATTGCTATTGAAATAGTACAGATACAGAACATTTCCATCACCACAAATATCCCTCACATTGCTATTTTATAGCCATATTCAATTTCCTCCCACCTCTCTGCCCACTTCTTTAACCTTAGCAACCACTAATCTGTTCTCCATTTTTTATAATTTTATCATTTCAATAATGTTATATAAATGGAATCACACAACATGTAACCTTTGTGATTGGCTGTTTTTACCCAAGCGAGTTCTCGGGAGATTCATTCTGCTGTAAAACCTTTTAATTAATGGCCGGTGCTTCATCATCACAGAACAGAATTAAAGCTTAGTAAACAAAGACCGGGTTCTATGATAACTCACATGAAAGCAAAGGGCACAAGAAGATTAAATTTCACTATGCTCTGTGTAAGTGACAAGTTTCTTTGCTATGTTTTCCTGCCACTGTAAAGACCTAAAGGCATTCTCATTACTAAAGTATTTTACTACCAAGATTGCATTACGCATTGTGAATATAAACCTTTATGCTTGTGTAACCATAAGGTTTGTGAAAATTGTCTCAGAATATGACCAGTTAAAGAATTTTAAATATCACCCTATATTAATCAATTCAGATGTGTGCCAAATTATAATGAATTTCCTGTTTTCCACTTAGAACTAAGTCTTTGCTCTCTCCCACCACAAAAAAAACAAACAAAAAAAACCTCACTGAGCCTGGCTCCATGGCTCAGCCTGTAATCCCAGCGCTTTGGGAGGCCAAGGTGAGTGGATTGCCTGAGCCCGCGGGTTCAAGACCTACCCGGACAACTTGGCGAGACCTCGTCTCTACAATAAATCAAAAATTAGCAGGCATGGTAGCACACACCTGTAGTTCCAGTTACTTGGAAGGCTGAAGTGGAAGGATTGCCGGAGCCCAGCAGGTCGAGGCTGCGGTGGCTGGGAGCGTGCCACTGCACTCCAATCTGGGTGACGGAGTGAGACTCCAACTCAAAAAAAAAATACCTCACTGGAATTATTGTTGTTTGAAACAGCAGCCCTCATGTTGTGTTTTAACCACTGCAGAGAAGAAACAAGTGCATCCATCAGCTCCAACATCTAAAAAACCACAAAGTGATTTGTTTGCTCTCCAAATGTTTCCTTCAATGCATTTAGGATATCTGCCAAACTCAGCAACAGAACCTCATCACTGAATTATTATTTAAAAAGAAAAATCCTGACCAGATAATTGACCAACTTTCTACTCCTTACCATTTTTTAAAATGGGTTCATCTCACATTAGCAAGACTATAATATAAAGAACAAGCTAGAAGTGATTAAATAATCTGCAACCTATTGCCATGTTTATATCTAAAATTCATACATCTTTTAACAGACCTACAGTACTCTGTACTGATGACACAATTTCTTAATCAAGTCAAAACTCACTAGTTACTAGACATATGATTACTAGATGAAGCGATGAAGCATATACTCTATTAAGTTTCTAACCTATATAATTAAAAGAGAAAAGGAAAATAAAATCCTTCTAGGAAGTTCCTTTAAAAGTTTGTGTAGGGTAATAAGCTATAGAGAAAAGTAACAGGCTGTTATTTAAACACTTGCCCAGTAAAACAAAATAAACAACATGTAAACCTCTTTTTTTTCAATAACCTTACTATATGTACACACACATACACACAAACACACACACCCACACACACACCCCTTTAGGACAAACTTCCACAAGACAACCTTAAACTACCACTACTTTTCCAGCTCGCAGAAGAGGTCTAAGGCTAATATTAATGGTCTCATTTAAACACCCCAAGTTAACCAGGATAATAGTCCCCACTCCTTGGTGTTATAGCAGCAACACAGGTGTCTCACCAATCTTAAGAGAAAACTCCTAGAGGGCAAGAACACCTGTTTCATTCATTGTTGTATGTCCCACAGCGCCTTAATCTGCAAAAATGTTCTGCACAAAGTGAGTACTAAACAAAAAATACTGAACAGTGAGAGAAAAAAAAAAGTTGTACTTAGTAAGAGATATACAGAATTCCAGAATGCAGTATGCAAATTTTCTAATTCCTAAACCCCCCAAAGAGGGTAAACAATATTTAGCTTAGTGGCACTATGTGTCCAAAAGCTTAAGTATGGCCTTTAAATAATGTATCTACGACTCTATTTGCTCATCTGAACAAGGATAGTAAACACCTGGCTCAGAGTTTTGAAATAATTTTAAAAGCTGGTATATGAAAAGTCTCCTTAGATCAATAACTGGAACACTATACCCACTTAAGGGTTAGCTACCGAGATCACTGAAAAAGACTATTATAAATAAAAGCAAGGCCCACTGCAAAGGAGGTCAGAGCTTAAAAGAAATTAGCCTAGAAGAGACAAGATCACGGATCAGAAAACTTTTTTCTGTAAAATGCCAGATACTCCTGAAAATATTTTAGGCTTTAAGGGCAAGACGCAATAGCTTCACTACTCTCTCTGAAAACCTCATCGGTTTTTTGCTTGTTCACATTTTACATTTTAGGATTTAAGAAATCATTCTCACTTCACGGGTCCATAAAAAAAAACAAAACCAAACAAACAAAAAAAGAGGCTGGATTTGGCGCCCGGGCCCTACCTAGTTTGCCAATCCCTGGATAAAATGACAATGATGATAACAGTTTGTTTTGTTTTGTTTTCTTAAGGCAACATAAAGAATGCTGGTGAGTTGATTACAAGTTGTCCGAAAAACGAGCAGCCCCAAACTTCTAAAATTCAGACAGGTTGGACTGGCGTGGCGGGGAATCCGGCCAGGACAGGGAGCAGAGCCTCAGGAGCCAGCAAGGGCGGTCGAGCCCGGTCCCACACTTACTCCCAGCAGCGGCCCGCGGCCGATCACTGTCTCGCCGGGCGCCAGGGCCACCCGGGGACCGCCGTCCTGCGGCTGCAGCTCGAAGCCCGCGTACATGGTGGGCGAGGATTGGGCCCTTCTCAAGGAGACAGCCCCCAGAGCCGTTTCCGCCTCCCACAAACACGCGCGGGGCACGCCCAGGCCCCCGGAAAGACGCGGGGGTAAGGGAAGCAAAAGCTCGTCCTGGCAGTCTTCAGTTCTAGAGGAGCAGGGGCCCCTGCGCCGCTTCCGGAGTCCCGCCCCTCCACCCCGACCAGTGACACAACCGGGGATTCCCCCACCACGCCGCTACGAAATCGTTGTTTAAAAGCCCCGGTTTACTCCCCCTCAGCCAGTCTCACCGCCGACTCCGTTTGAGAACGTCGGACCTTGTAGTCCTAGGCGCTTTCCTTCCCCATCTCTCTCCAGCCGAGACATCCTGGGAAAACTACCAATCCCACAAGGCCGTGCGCACTCCTTCTGCGCCTGCGTGCGTACCGAGGGCGGGGCTAGAGTGGGCAGAGCGCAAAGGGAAGGATTCGAATTCCCGAGGATATAAATCGCGGGAGAAGCAGCCACTGCGGCCCAATAGGGATAGGAGGTAGGTCATCTCTTCCCGAAGGCGTCGGCGCCGGCACGCCAGGGGGTGCGGCTCTGCGCCAGCACAACCTCCTGTCTGCGGCCTGGAGCCGCGGTGGCAATCAGTGCTGACGGTTGTTATGGTGGTTCACGTGTCAGTGCCCCGTCTTTTGGGGGCCGGAGCAGCTGCAGCCCGCGCGGGGCGCACCAGGAGGGTGGCTCAGGTGGGACTGGGGTTGTCACCCACGTTTTGCGGGGTCCGGACAGGGTGGGGATTATCCGCCCCTCGGGTCGCGCAGGCTCCGAATACTTCCCTCCGACAGATGAAGGGGGGCGAGCGATGACCTACGTGGAGCGGTAGTTCAGCGAAGCTTGATTCGCAAAGGGAAAGGGGCAGAACAGGGATGACTTCCAGGCATCCTGGCAAAACTGGACGTGGGATTTTTAGGAACCTCGCCCAGGTATCTCGACTGTTAAATTCCAAACTTTCATCTGCCCCCTGTGGAATTCCTGAAACAAGAAGAGGCATTTTATTCCTTCAGTGAGACCCTGGGAGAAGTAGCAAACATTTAAATACACTGTAACTTTCTCCTGAGGTGAGATTCTTTTCAAGAACTTGGTTTGGCTTTGGTTTGTTTTGATGGTAGGAGGGGCAAAGGGGCGTGGCAAAAACTTGCTCTTGACTCATGCTCTTGCATTTGGCAGTTCGCTTTCTTCCCCAAACACTCGAGAGGAACTCTGTTGAACACAGGCACTACAGTTCTAACCACCACAGCTCATTTGGATCATAAACAACCTAATTAATGGGAGCTACCGCGGTCTTGGCAAGTCCAGAACCTTATAGCCCATCTGGAATAGAAAATTATTAGGTGAGTTAAAAAGAAGGATTTAACTGTGTCTCAAATGCCTCCTCCTACACAGCCAACCCTCATTATAAAAGGAAGTGAAAAATTTAATAAACGGATTTTTAAATAAATATGAGCTGCCTTTGCTTGCAGAAGTAGCTGAAGGGTGGTAATGCACCAGCCATGCTTTCAACTGATTCTGGAAGTCAACACCATTCACTTTGGTAAATCAACTAAAACTGGGATTTAAATCTGAGCTTTAAATAGTCACATGCTCTATCTAGCTGAGTTATGAATACTGTTTATAGTTGTTACTCACTGTTGCTTGATGGCTTTAATGACTTTTATCCTTAGCTCATAATTAGCTATCATGTAGGTTATTTTTAAGAGACCATTTCTAAAGCACTGATCTTGTAATTGAGTTGAATATTTAAGACTTTGTGTCACCCAGATCTCATCCTCTTGCCCATCTTAGGTAGTATTTGTGTCATATGTGAACACCTACCTCTTAGGTACAAATAGATGAACGATTCTTTTTTTTTTTTGAGTTGAAGTCTCACTCTGTCGCCCAGACTGGAGTGCAGTGGCCGCTCCCGGCCACCGCAGCCTCGACCCGCTGGGCTCCGGCGATCCTTCCGCCTCAGCCTTCCAAGTAGCTGGAACTACAGGCGCGCACTACCACGCCCTGCTAATTTTGATTTATTGTAGAGATGAGGTCTCGCCAAGTTGCCCAGGCGGGTCTCGAACCCGCAGGCTCAGGCAATCCACTCAACTCAGCCTCCCAAAGGTGCGGGATTACAGGCTGAGCCACCGAGCCCGGCTAGAGGAACGATTCTTATATAAACAACTAAAAAGTCCAGGAGGTTTATGATTAAGTTACAAACTGCAGATGAAGAACTTAATGACATGGCATCCATTGCCACAGAAAAGTATTCCAGAATTTAATAGGATTGACTCATACACATTTTCAAAAGTACTTTCCTGCTAAACACACTGTTTTCATACTATCTCCCATTTATCCTTTTACCTTTTTCAAATTCTAAATTCAGGACCTTTCCTCTGTTAACCAAAAATACAATAAATACTTGAATGTGTTCTCACAGTAATCATTGCTACACTAAACTCAGTAAATATGGTCTGACTTCTCTTTTTTAGAAAATGTTGTTTGAGAACAAAAAAAAAATTTATAAATAAATCAATTTACTGAAAATGTTTAAAAAGGAGGGAACTAATGTGTTAAGTGCCTCTCATAGGCAATTCAAATGTAGCAAGGCTAGATGTTTTACACATTATCCCTGTTAATCCTTGCAAAAACACTAAGAAGAGAAACAGCATTGGCGCATTTTACAGACTGAGTAGCTGAAGTCAAGAAAGTTAAAATTCTGCAAGTCATACCCAAAAAGTATCTGACACTAAGTAGGATTTATATTCTCATTTGAGGTGATTAAGTATGTTCAAATTTGCCTTTTAGATTACATATGAAGATAATTGACCAAAACATCAAGCTATGCAGAAAAACTCCAAGAAAAATAATAATTCAAGAGTTGCTAACATAGAATTGAACTCTGTGGATACTGAGAAGGAAAAACACAAGAGTCAAAATGACTTTGTTGAACTGCTGCCTCTAGAAATCATTTTTAAAATTTTCAGTCAGCTAGACATTCGGAGTTTGTGCAGAGCTTCAGTAACATGCAAGAGCTGGAATCACACAATAAGAAACAGTGACTCTTTATGGAAACCTCACTGCATGACTGTAAGAGCTGTGTGCAGGAGAGAAATAGACGATGATCTAGAAAGTGGTTATTCCTGGAGGGTAAGTTTAATCTTTGCAGTCTACAGTGTTTTTGATAGTACTATGGTAGCAGGTTTGAGCCAATTCTAACTTCTGCTTGGAGGAGGTAGGATTTCCTATGCAGAATTACAGAGTATGTTGACTTTTGGAAATGAGTTAGAGCTATTCTTTTCCTGCTAACCACACTGTTTCCACACTGTCTCCCATTCATTCTTTTGCATTTTTAAAATTCTAAATTCCGGAGTTTGCCTTTGTTGACCAGAAGGGAATTGACCACTACTTTTCACTTCACTATATCTAAAACCTCTAGTAAACTCTATGGCTCACTCTGTGTACATACACATACACACTTACACAAATTTCTTAATATATATATATTATCAATCTAAATACTTAATCTTTTGTTTTCAACCCTGTCAACCACCTTTTCTAATTTTAAACAAACTCGCTAACCAACCACCAACTACACTCTTTTTTAACGATGATGATTTGCCTCTTTCAGGTCATACTGCTGAGGAATTACCAGAAGAGTAAAGTGAAACACGAGTGGCTAAGTGGCAGATACAGCAACATATGCTCTCCCATTAGCCTACCAGAAAAAATCATGTACCCAATGGATGCAGATACATGGGGGGAAATTCTAGAAGCAGAACTGGAAAGATAAGGGAAAAAAATCAAACAGATCTGAGAACTCTGAGAGTTTGAAACTCAAATGACTGTTGGGTTGCAAAAGGTGTATCTTTATCCGTTCATTTTTTTGGTATTATTTACTTTTTTAAAAAAGAAAATGAAATAGAAAATATTATAAAAGTAATACTTTATTTTTATTTTGCACTTTAGGAAAAAATATTTTTCTGGTTTTATTGTAATGTAAAAAAATCATGAAATGTTATTTTTATAAGATAATATACTTATAGAGTGATTTAAAAATGCATTGTTTTATGTATTTATTTTAATGTATCTTAGTACTTTGTTAGAATTTGGAATTTTCAGCTTAATTATAATTCAAAAATTTGGGGAACCACTTTAAACTGACTTAAAGATTCATTTAGTAGTTATTTATGCATAACTAAGCTCATGGGAAGACTAGCTAAATAGAATTAATAGCAAATGTTGACTTTAATAACACTTTATATTTCAGTAACTTTAAAATTTCCACTTCAGTGGAATCAGATTGAAATATCAAATAGTGAAATTATTTTAAAACATGTTAAACCTGTGGTTCAGTTTTAAATTAATCTGATTTCAGGACTAAAACCTGTCAGATTAATATTCCCATTACTTTCCTACAAACCTGGGATGGTTATCAGGGGCTGAAAATATTTGGAAAGTTTCCAGAACACTTAACCACAATTAGAAATACCACACTGTTTAGCTTGGTAAAACTCCTTGACAACTTTGTAGCACCACCTAGTATACTCTTCATAGATACCAAGACAAAGGACTTTTCAGGTCCTTTTTGTATTCTCCATATTTAAAAGAAAGAAAACTATTATTATACAGAAGCTTTAACACTTGACTTTGTTAAAGTTTCCAGGAACCTTTATTTTAACTTTTTAAAATTTTGACATTTGTTTCCCTTTTTTAAGCACAGATGATACATTACTCATTGTGCCAGATTGTTTAGTCTGAATCTATAGCCAGCACTATAGTAAAGTGTCTACAAAACATTTTAGTTAATATGGGGCTTTCTTCTTAAAACGTGCTCTATAGCATGAAAAAAATCAGCCGGGCGTGGTAGCGCATGCCTGTAATTCCAGCTACTTGGAAGGCTGAGGTGGAAGGATCACCGGAGTCCAGCAGGTCGAGGCTGCAGTGGCCGAGAGCGGCCACTGCACTCCAGTCTGGGCCACAGAGTGAGACTCCAACTCAAAAAAAAAGAATCCAGGAAACTGGTATTTAACAAATAGGCAACTATTAGAAAGATACCCCATTACATACAAATTTCCCTTTGTTGGATAAAGCAGTTGATAATTGATTGTTTCCTCTTATCTTCTTAGAGTTGAAAGAGGCCTTGAAAATCAGGTAGTCCACTCTCCAGAACCATTTAGTAATTTCCTCAAAAGAAGCATTGACTGTCGGTCAGCCTAAGTTCAAATACTGTATTTCTAGTAATAAGGTCTCCATTACATCACAGAACAGTCCAGTTGTATTTTTAGTATAGCTCTGGTTATTAGAAATTTTTCTTCACTGAACTGAAGACCACCTCTCTCCGTAACATTTGCCTACTCATCCTGGTTCCACCCTCTAGATACAGACTAATTTAGTCCTTCTTCTTTCTGGTTGCCATTAAATTTTTGAAGACTGCTAACCTTTCTCTTCCTATATCTTCTCCCCAATTCCTTTGCTAATCATAGAGTATGATTTCTAACCAAAAGCATTCTGTTTTGCACATGCCCTCTTAAGAAAAGTGTCCTCATTTCATAAAAGACAATAAGAAGGCACTTTGAAATTTTCAAAGTATAGAAAAATCAATGCTATAAGCATTTTACTGCATAGCATCTGTATACAACAGCATATGTACACATATATTTTTGCCTGTTTTTTTGTAATGATATAGATTAGCTGTATCCAGTGTCCTTACTACCGCCTTCACCTGTTAATAGAGGTCATGCTAATTAGGAGTAATCACCCTTCTCATTCTACCCAATGTGGTTTTTTTATATTATCCTGTCTTTTCTAATCTCTGTGTTTAGTCCAAGGATAGGAACATGACCCAAACCACTGCCTTCCAAAAACTGGCAGAAAGAAGCCCTTTCCTCTTTCATGATGAAACTGTTGCCTGCTACACAGAGAAAATGGATCCTGAGTAAGAATATGGAACCAACAGGAGAGAGAACGTTGCAAGGAGAGGCCAATGGTATTCAAGACCCTAGTTCCAGCCATTCCCAGGCTACTCACCTAAACTAATTCAAGCTGAGTTTTAACCTTGCACAGGAAAGCCTGCCTTATATTGTTTCATTTGCCTATTTTTCAAGTATGTGGTATTTGTGGTTTACATTAGTTCTTAGTTTTCAAGATATAATGCTTTGCACTGTCCTGTATGCTGCTAATGTTTTGTCCTCCTAAAAATACTTCCTTGCCTCTGACTTCCTCATCAGTCAGTTATTTCTCAATCCACCCTACTCTGGCCATCACTCCACACGATTGAAGATGTTCTTATCCAAATTCCAATGGTCTTAATTGCTAAATCCATTGGATACGTTTTAGATGTTAATATATGTGACACGCGTAAATACTCAGCACTTCTTGAAACTCTCTCCCAAGTTTGGAGCTATAGTCTCCCGGGTTTTTCTTTTCCTACTCTAACCAGTCTTTTTTGGTTTCCTTCAGACTCATTTCCCTTCTTCTATTTATTACATGTTGGTGTACCCCAACATTAAGACAATTTTTCTCTCATCTCTTTACATCCTAAACATCCTTGGTGATCCCATCTACTCCTGTATCAACTACCATTATTGGTGCTGATGACGTTCATGTCCATGTCTCAACATCAGATTCCCCCATTCTGCTCCAGAAATACATAAGCCACTATCTGTTGGATTTCTAGCTAAATCACAAACAACCTGATTCAAAATTCATTAGCTTATAAAGCTAGTTCTTCCTCTAGTCCCTACCTCAGTTAATGACTGGTGCTGCTAGAAAATCACAATTATTTACTTTTCTCCATCATTCTCCATATTTAGTCAAGAGTTGATTCTTGATGATTTTATCATCCAAATATCTGAGCAATCCAGTCCTTCTCCATCTTTCTCTCTGCTTCATTACTCAATTTTTGTCCTTATTTGAAGGACAAGACAATAAAATAATCTCTTTACTGGTGTTCCTGCCTCCTGTTTCTTTCTCTTACTGTCCTCAGTATAAGCTTTCTAAAGTTCCGAAAGTACCATGTCACCCCGAAAGTACCATGTCACCCCCTAACTTAAACTCCTTACTGCTTTCAAGCAGAAATCAGAATTCCCTAGTAAAGCTGGGAGGACCTTTACTGAAGTGGGCAGCCTAAACCCTTGAGCCTCTTGCCTCACAACTGGCCCATCCTATAACTTTCAACTCAGTTGCACCAAATATTTCATGAAAATCCACTCATTTCTCTGCCTTTGCTCAGGCTGTTTGATATACCTGGATGATCTTCCTCTCACCCACCATTAATTCTTTTCTTGCCAAATCTACTGTAAAACTTGTCATCTTGGCTTGGAAACCATCCATCACTACTGCTATTCTGGATTAACTAACCTTCTTAATGTTTCTTTGGTTCTTTTTATGTACCTTTCTCAAAGCTGTCATACTACATTAAATTGTCTTTTGTGTGTCTGTTTCTTTAGACTGTGAAGTTCTTAATGGTATAAACCATTCTTATTTATTTTTGTGTTCTCAAAACCTGGCACATAGTAGGTCCTCTATAAAGATTTTTAAATTATTTCTATAATTATTTATTTTAATCCTATCCATAATATGTAAAAATAATTCACTATATTATTAGTGAACAAGACTATTGAAATGCAATGTACAATCCTTAAGATATATGAGATGCTTGATATTAATGCAAATATATGAATAATTATTCTAGTCTTCTCCAAAGCTGTAGAGGAAAATAAGAAAGTAGAAATGTTTTGCTTTATTTTTTTAATAAACGCTTGAAAATAAACTTAACCTCAAGAATATATGTATTATTTTATATTATTGGGTCACTTCAGTCAGTTGTAAATATTACCTTTGCAAGTTAATGTATAAATGTTAGCTTCGTGGAATTTTTTAGTATTATTGCATTAAAATAATTTTTTTGCATAAGTTATGCTGTGATCACAGTTTGTACTGAAAGGAAACCTTTGGAACTTAATGATAAATTTTATGGTTTGGGCTTATCAAACCAAGCCATTAGCCTCTGAGAGCATTAGTGGGTGGAGCAGCATGGAAGGAGGGCGTGCTCCTATTCACAGCAAAAATAACATGTTAAGTATGCACCCTGTGTAAAAGAGGCAAGATTATTAGGAAAGAGTATTATGGAACTTCCAGTGTTTTTACATTTTTAATCAGTTTAAGATCTAGTGTTTTTAAAAAATTAATTTAGAAAACTTTCTTTAGTTGCTTCTAGTTTATAACTCAATCTTAGACCAGGACATAATCACCAATAAAATCTATATGAATACAGACTTTAGACCTTATGATATTTGCATATATACAAGCCTAATTTGAAAAACGTAACATACTCCTGACCACTTTAATTGTAGCTTTGCTATGACTTTATATCTACTCTCTAAGACTTCCAAATGCCCTAATGATATTAACAAAAAATAAGATGAGTAGTAATATCAGGAAATGGATTGGTAAGAATACATAAGATAGAAGATCATACATTTTTATTTAAAGTAGAATTAAAAAACCAAAAACATCAAATGGATGAAATTAGGTCAACCATGGACAAAATTGATTAATTATAACAGCCAGCATTCACTGAGTGGCTTCTCTGCACCAAGCATTGTGCTCATATGGTAGATGCTCTTACTCTGTCTCCTTCTTACAGATGAGGAAACTGAAAGAATGATCTTATCAATCTACTTCATCACCACTTCCCACACCTATAAGAGTATGTAATACATAGTAGGTACTCAATCAATGTTTATTGAATGAATTTTAAACTTAGAATGAATAACTCAAATGGAATAG